AAAAAAAAAAAAGACGGTGACACCATATTAAGCATTCTTTCTGTAATAAAACAAAATAAAAAATTTAAAAAGACTGAACAGACCCCTGAGTGAGAACCGCCGTGCCCCTGTGCTGTTAAGTACACCACGTCCACAGCTTCCCACTGTCCCCATTCTATAGACTTGGAAAGCAAGGCACACAGAGGTACAGGGGCTTGACCAAATCCAAACGCTTTGGACACCCTGAGGCCTTCAAAGCACCATGAGATATTCGGAACGTGACCCCCAAATACCATCTGCCAACCCACACTCACCCCCAGCTCCTCCCGCCATCTGCCCAAACCCCCTCACCGGCAGCCTTGGCAGTCTTCGCTGCCATCTTGTTGGACACGGTGACTGAGATCTTGGAGGTGCTGGTGTCCGGCCGCCTCGGTGGAGTGCCGGGTGGGGAGTCACGGTTCAGACTGTTAGCAATCATTCGAGAGGCAGCTGCAGGGAGGAAAGGCAAGAGTCCCATCGTCCCTGGGATGGAGGCCAGGACACAAGACAAGCCTTGGGACTACATGGGGAAGGGGCAGCTGGGGTCCCCCTGTAGCTGCACTGCCATGATGGGGATGCTTAGGCGTAAGCCAGTCTAAACAGGAGCTAGCCCGCTCCTCACTGCCTGGGGGTCCTTCCTGAGGGCCTAGACCAGACTGGTTCCTGTCACTCTTCACCCAACAGTTACCCAGCCCTGTTCTGAGCTCCTCTCCCAGCTCCACTTCAGCCCAGCTGGTCTGGGAATCTTCTTCCCCCAGAAGTGTGCACCTTCTCAAAGCACATGCTTTTCCCTCTGCCTGGCATGCAGTTCCCTGAGTACCAACGGGCCTTCTCTGGCTCTTTACTCAGGTCTCCTCTCAGACAGCACCTCCTTAGAAAAAGCTTCCTGGACCTCTCCATCCCCTCTACCACCCTGACCCTACGCAAGGCTCTCTTTTTCTTCGTAGCCCTAATCGCTGCTTGACATCAAATTACACGTTTTTGTTTGCTGGTGGGCTCTCCCACGAGCATGCAAGCCCCATGAGAAGACAATGCCCATTTATTTCTGTATCCCTAGTGCATATCACAGCTTCTGGTGCTTTAGAGGTCCTCACGGAACATCTACTGGCAAAGATGAACACTGTCACTGAAAATCCCAACATCCCTACCAGACAGATCTACTGCAAGCCAATTTTACAGACGAGGAAATGGTGACTCCAGGAGGGGATCACTCAGCCAGTTCCCTAAGCAGTGGTGGGTCCGGCTCCAGTTGGGCTGAGGGGAGATAAGCGGTAACCCCCTTCTGGGGATGGAGGATGGGGGTGAGGGCAGGCTCTGGCGCCCCTGTCTTCTTTGGAGCATAAGGAGGGATTTCAGGGTGTGAGGTGGGAGCTACAGCATGCTCTAGAGGGTCAACCCCAGCATGGGAAAGACACGGGTCTTGTCTTCAGAACAGCTGGTTTTAGGGCACAGGTTTCAAAAGCTCTTGGGGAAGCCCTGCAGGGGAGGGAGGGGGTCTCCATGCCGTCCCTGCTTATACCACAGTCCCAGTAATCCCCAGACCCTCCACCAAGGGCTTTCAGATTTGGGTATTCCACCCTACCTACTCCTCAAAAGTCCTTTCTTTTTCTGCTATGTGCTCTCTCTCAAAACCTGCTCAAGTTCCCCATAATGACCCTCAATACGTTATCACAATTATATATTACTTGGTTGATTTTTTAAATTATAACTATAGCATACAGAAAAATCCACCAAACCCACAGAGACCACTTAACAAAAAGTGAACTCCCACATACCCACCACCCAGGTCAAGAACTGGAGCCTTACTGTCACCCGGAAGGCTGGGGATTGGCCCTTCCCAATCAGACCTCTTCCCTGCCCCTCACCAGAAAGAAATGGCCAGTTTTCAGCCCTGCTCACTCCCCTGGTAACGATCGGTATACACCCCTCCACAATTTCCCCAGGACATTTCTTCAGACAGCTCTGAAGCCGGATAGGGGTGGCTTTCTGACCAGCTGTAAACCACCTGGCTGCACAGAATCTGTCCTGGGATGATCATCGGGATGTTCTGCTATGAGAGGTAAGCAGCTGAGAGGCCCTGCCTCTTGCAGTGTACCCAGAGGGAGATGTCTTGCTTAAAAGGGATAAGGCATAAGATGTTTTGTCACGACAGGTAAGCACCATTTGGGTGGAAGAAAAACAACTATCTTCGCCCTAACAAATTTGAACTGTAGTCAGGTGTCAGACACATAGATACAGACATGCGTATTCAAAGGTGTATATCATAAAGTGTATAGAAGTGAGTGTACCAGGAATGCTTCTCTGGAACATTCTTCCCCACCCCTTTCCTTCTTTGCCTGCTTCCTCTATTCCTAACTGCCTATTTTCTCCACGAGCATTTTTGTTAGTTTTAATTTTTTTAACTTGTTTGACACTAAGACATTCAAAAAGGTATAAAAATAACATACTATCTGATTTCATTGATGTACATTTGAAAGACGAGCAAAAAGACTAAAAAAATAGATCATCAATGCTGTTAGAAATCAGGGTCAATAAGGGGCACCTGGGTGGCTCAGTGAGTTAAGCGTCCGGCTCTTGGTTTTGGCTCAGCTCACGATCTCACAGTTTCGTGGGTTCAGGCCCCATGTCAGACTCTGCGCTGGTAGTGCGTAGCCTGCTTGGGATTCTCTCTCTCTGCCCTTCCCCCACTCACACTGTCTGTCTCTCTCAAAATAAATAAATAAACTTAAAAAAAAAAAAAAGACATCAAAGTAATGGGTACCCTGGAGAGGAGGGGCGGGTAGTGATGCTGGTCATGTTTCAGTTTCTGGATTTGGATGCTGCTGGCTACACGAGTGTTGCACTTGTGAAAAGTGATTCGGCTGTACCTTTATGATTGGAACCCTTTTCTGTGTGTAAGTTGAGGAAGACTGCTGCAGAAAAGAACACCAATTTTTTCAGCCTCCTCTGTCCATGCTTTTGGGTAGGCACTGCCCACACTGATTGTGGGCTTAGCCACGTGACTGGCTTTGGCCAATGAGACAAGAGCAAGTGTTATACAGGCAGAAGCTTAAGAGATGCCTTGCACACTGGGATCTGCCCTCTTATGCTGTTCTGGGGAGCCCTACAATCAGCACTGCGTGGACAGGCCCGGGCTAGCCTGCTGCAAAATGAGAGACATGTGGCCAAGTCACCTCTGTTGGTCCAGATGACATCAAGCCAACCACCAGACGTGAGTGAGGCCATCCTAGATCACCCAGCCTCAACCAAACTGCCAGGTGACCACTGAGATCAGCTGAGCTGACCCAGAGCAGAAGTGACCAGCCATGTCATAAAATCACGAGAGATATGGGGCGCCTGGGCAGCTCAGTCGGTTGAGTATCCAGCTTTGGCTCAGGTCATGATCTCACAGTTTGTGAGTTCAAGCCCCGCGTCGGGCTCTGTGCTGACAGCTCAGAGCCTGGAGCCTGTTTCGGATTCTGTGTCTCCCTCTCTCTCTGCTCCTCCCCCACTCGTGCTCTGTCTCTCTCTCTCTCTCAAAAATAAATAAAACATTAAAAAAAAAAATCACGAGAGATAAAAGCTTGTATTTTAAACCAGTTTGGGGCTTGTCAAGCTAATATGCATATTAAATTTCTAAAGTTTATTTTTCTTAAAAAAGGTATCACACTGCTAAAAAATCAAATGTATAAATACCATTCTCACCATCCACGGATTCCATATTTGCAAATTCGCCTATTCACTATAATTGATTTCTAACCCCAAAACCAGTATTTGTGGTGCTTTGCTGCCATTCACAGCCATGCGCTGAACAGTGAAACACTCAAGTCACCCAACACACACTCCCAACTGAAGTCAAACAAGGGGACTCTCTGCCTTTAGCTCTCACGGTAAACAAGTATCCTTCTCACGGTCTATTTTGTATCCCCTTTTTACACTTTTGTGCTTTTGGATAGTGATTTTGCTGTTTAAAATGGCGCCCAAGCAGGGGCACCTGGGTGGCGCAGTCGGTTAAGCGTCCGACTTCAGCCAGGTCACGATCTCGCGGTCCGTGAGTTCGAGCCCCGCGTCAGGCTCTGGGCTGATGGCTCAGAGCCTGGAGCCTGTTTCCGATTCTGTGTCTCCCTCTCTCTCTGCCCCTCCCCCGTTCATGCTCTGTCTCTCTCTGTCCCAAAAATAAATAAACGTTGAAAAAAAAAAAAAAATTTTTAAAATGGCGCCCAAGCATAGTGACAACATGCTTTCTCATATTCCCAGGTGATGTGCCTTATGGAGAAAATACATGTTAGATTAGCTTCGTCTAGGCAGGAGTCACAGTGCTGTTGGCTGTGAGCTTGATGTTAATGTATCAACAATGTATTACAAGTAAAAGGTCTCTAAACAGAAATACACATAAAATAAGATCTGTGTCGAGGAGCCTGGGTGGCTCAGTCGGTTGAGCGTCCGACTTCGGTTCAGGTCATGATCTCACGGCTCTTGAGTTCAAGCCTCGCGTCGGGCTCTGTGCAGACAGCTCAGAGCCTAGAGCCTGCTTCTGCTTCTGTGTCTCCCTCTCTCTCTGCCCCTAACCCACTCGCATTCTGTCTCTGTCTCTCTCAAAAATAAATAAACATTAAAAGAAAATAATAATAAGATCTGTTAATCAACTGACAAAAATGTTGTGACTAGAGGCTTACAGGAACCTAACTTTGTACTTCCTCTTGAAGCAGTGACTCAATATTCACTAATTCAGAGGTCACAGTGACGTTATGGAGCAGAACTACCACCAATGAAAATCGACCGGACATATTGCCACCTCACTACCCAGACTATTTTTTTCCTAAGAGAACCTCAGATGGCTTTGTTTCACCTCTGCAGATTTCAGGTGTATGCCCTCTACAGCTGAAGCGTATGACTGAAGGAAAGGAACCCTGGGTAGATGGGACTCACCACTAGAGGTGCCTCGGCGAATCTCGCCTGGGAGGGGGCTGGGGCTGCAGGGCACGGACTCAGTGGCGGCTTTGCACATGTCCTGTAAAAATATAAATAAATAAAATAATGGGACACCAGGGTGGCACAGTCGGTTATGCCTCAGACTTTGGCTCAGGTCATGATCTCACGGTTCGTGAGTTCGAGCCCCACGTCGGGCTCTGTGCTGACAGCTTGGAGCCTGAAGCCTGTTTCGGATTCTGTTGTCTTCCTCTCTCCCTCTCCCTCTCTCTCTCTCTCTCTCTCTCTCTGCCCCACCCCATTCGTGCTCTCTGTCTCTCAAAAATAAATAAACATTAAAAAAAAAAAAAAAAGGTGCCTGGGATACCATGTGGACAAGGATAATCTGAGAAATCTGAGTAACATAGGGGGATCAGAGCCTGAACTGCTACAGGAGAGAGTTCAAAACATTTCACTCCTAACCATGAGAAAGCATCAGACAAACCCAAACGGAGAGACATTCTACAAAACAACTGACCAGTACTCTTCAAAACCGTCAAGGTCATCGAACATTATCTGGGAAGACTATGAAACTGGTATAAATCAATGGGGACTTAAGAGACAGAAAGAGACATAAATAAATGCAGTGTGGTATATGAAACAGAGAGAGGACTTTAATACAAGAACTGATAAGATCCAAGTAGTCTGTATTTTTGTTAATAGCAGTGTCCTGATGTTTATTTCTTAGTTTTGACAAATGGACTGTGGCTACTACAAATGTTAACATTAAGGGAAGCTGGGTGAAGGAGACACAGAAACTTTCTGTACTGCTGTCGGAACTTTTCTGTAAATCTAAAATCATTCCCAAATTTAAAAGTTTCAAGGAAAAAAAAAAAAAAGTGTTGCCCAGTGACCTTCTCTGTGATAACTCAAGTCCCTGACGTGAGAAAGCCATCACGGCGGGGGCCTGGCTGGCTGGACAGGTGAAGGCCCGTCCCTGGGTGGGGGAAGCAGCTACCATTTGGTAAAGTGGAGTCTGAGAGCACCGCTCTAGAGCCAGTTTCCTTCTCAGTCAAGTGGAGTGAGCAGGAAATGAGTTAAAATGGATGAAGGATGGAGACAGCACCTGGCAGGCTACGGTAAGCGCTCGGTAAATGTCAGCTATCAAAGCTCAACAAGCTCTTCATTCCCAGTGTGGAGCTCGGTGCCACATACTATCTGGTAGGTGGCCACAGCAGCAGTGGTGTGGGAGAAGCCTGTTTCAGAAGATTCAGGGAAGTGAAGATCACTAGTCTAGGGTCACTGTAAGTGGAGGGGCCGAGAATGGAACAGCCATGTTGTTGGCCAAGTCAGCACCTGGGTCCTAAGCGGGGAGCTCCTGTCCTGGGGACAGACAAGAATCCTGCTAATGATGTTATTGTCACGGGGAAGATGAGAACCAGTAATGGTAATAGAGAGCCTTTACTGAGGCCCTACTGTTTACACTGTACTGGGGCTTTATTTAATGTAATACAACTACTTTGCAAGATAGGTCTGCCTATCTGCATTCTACAAATGGAGAGAGAGGGACGCCTGGGTGGCTCAGTCGGTTAAGCATCCGACTTAGGCTCAGGTCATGATCTCGCAGTTCATGAGTTCAAGCCCCGCATGGGGCTCTCCACTGTCAGCACAGAGCCCGCTTCGAATCCTCTGTCCCTCTTTCTCACTGCCCTTCACCCTGTGTGTACACTCTCTCTCTTTCTCTCTCTCTCAAAAATAAACATTTTTTTTTAATGTTACAAATGGAGAAAGAAAGGCTCAGAGAGGTTAGGCAACACGCCCAGTGTCACACAACAAATGGTGCAGCCAGCCTTGGCGCTCAGGTCTGCCTGTCTTTGCCTCCAAGCCTCCTGCTGGCTCTGCTACCGCTGCTCCACCGCGCCCTAAACCCGGGGACCAAGGGGTGGGGTGGGACACCCACCTGGCGGTGCACCACCTTGGCATGCTTGAGGATGGCGATGATGTCGCCCACCACAGTCACGCCCAGCTCATTCATGATCTCTTTGTTGAGATCCAGCAGCATGCTCTTCTGGATCCTACAGGGGAGGGTGAGTGGTGAGGCCGCCAGTGCGCCAGGATGGAAGGGCCAGCCAGCTCCCATCTCCCCCCGCCCCCCCCCCAGGCTCCACCCACCTCTCCCCGCCTCTCTCCGCCTCTCTCCAGGTTCAGCTCTGTCCCCTCGGGCCCCCTTACCTATTATCCACAAACATCACCGCGTAATTGACAGCAGGCCCGGGAGGAATGCCGGCTTCCTTAAAGAACTGGATCCACTCGGAAGTGGCTGAGGGGTGGACAGGGTTCATTATTCCCATTGTTCTCTCTAGAGAAGAGCAGCCGAAAAGCCACAACAGCAGCCACAACAGCAGCAGCTCCCACAAATTAAATGCTCACCGCATGCCAAGCCCTGGCTGAGCGCTTCACGCAGACAGTGGAACTAGGCCCGCGACAGCCCTGTGAGCTCAGCAGCATTAGGACTCCCACACTTGGCCAATGAGGACACTGAGGCAGGGAGAGGTTGGGCAGCTGGCCTCAGGCCACATCGCTAACAGGAAGCAGAGTCCCCAACCCATGTGCTGCTGTACCGCCCTTCTCCTTATAAGCTCTACCCTGCCCTGGGATATGACCCGCAGTGGCTGTCCCCATGCTTGGCCAGTGCCAGGTTTCAGGGAGCTGGGACTCTGCATTCTCCGCCCTGGTCCCCATTGACAGGCCCAGCTCCAGAGAGTGACAGGATCCACAGGTAAATGGGAAGAAGGGACACAGAGCTGGCCTGTGAGCATCAATAAAGCCCTCTCCTCACTGTAGGAGCAGCAAGTATAGGCTTTGGAGCTTGGGTTGAAATTCTGGCTCTGCCACTTCCGGGCCAAGAGACAATGGGAGGTTAACGCCTGGTGTCTCAGTTTCCTCATCTGTGAATTTACGATAATACACTCAGTAAGTATTTATTGAGGACTGGCACAGGCCAGGTCCCATTCCAGCCACCGGGGATACCGCAAGGCACAAGACAACATCCCTTCCTTCATCGAGTTCGAATTCTAGTGATAACACTAACATCCTCAGATCACTGTGCAGACTCAATGAGAAAGTCCACATAAAGGGCCTTGAATGACACCTGGCCAGGGGACAACATCAACTCATAGCAGCTGCCATTATTATTAGTAGTAGTATCATTATTATTACTCTATTATTCTACCACCATTACCCAGGCCAAGGTCAAGACCAAGGAGGCACCCACCCATGAAAGTTTATTGTCTGGAAACTTCTTTGTTGGCCTCTTGGGTGTGACTTTCAAACTAGGTGTGGCCAATGTGTGTTAGATAAGATCACTAATTCCAAAAGATTTTTTTTTTCACGTTTTAACACCTCTGAAACTAAGATCCACCTCAGAATCAATGGTGTGCCGTGGTTTTAACTGGTGAAACTTTTTCACCAGTATATATATGGTGTATAGGTATATAGCATGGCACCGAACAATCCATGCTATGTTAGATGAGAAGAAGTCTGCTACTGCTAGGCCCATTTTGCTTATCAGACAACTGAGCCTCGGAGTGGGGAAAGAGATTCTGGTCTTGGTGGCCATCCAGAACTCAGGCCAAGCCCAGGGACCACTCTTCTCCCAGGGAGGCCCCTGCCCACCTGGCCACAAGCCCATCTCCCCAGGACTGAGGCAGGTGAGGAGCTCATGCCCTCAGGACTCCCCCACCAGCCCAGAGAAGGGGGGCTTTTGCTGCCTTGCACAGGCACCATCCACCTGCCCAGGCATGGGGCCCTGGGTTCTGTTAGCCAAAAGCAGGCAACTTTGTCTAAATATCAAAAGGCACCACAAAATGATTCCATTTATATGAAATGGCTGGAACAGGTAAACATCTACAGAGAACTACAGAGACAGAAAGTAGATTAGTAGGGGCGCCTGGGTGGCTCAGTCGGTTAAGCGTCCGACTT